TTTTCATGTATTTACCAGTTATTTCCAATAATGTACATGCGAGTGAACTCGTAAATTATTCAGTTTTAAAAATTATACAGTAAACGGTAATTTTGGACTTATTTACATTAGTCTCAACTCAGTTATTTATAAACTTGAAAACAAAACACGACTAATTTTGAAAAAGAAATAAATATACACATCAAGAACATCTATTTTTCAAAATAGAATTATTTTTATGTAATGATGAATTTATCATTTATCAGTGTTTCGTCAATACTCTTATTAATGACACCAAAAGAGTTCAATAAGTATCCGCTAAAATGTTTTTTCCTCTATATTTAAAAGATATAATGTATAAGATTTTATTTAATAAATATAATAGGATGAGATATTCATTCAACTACAAATAAACCTTTACTTCATTCAATACTAGTTTTAGATATTGAGTTTTTTTAATAATAATTGAAATAACTCATGAAAAGTTTGAATAATTTATTCAAAAAATGCAAATTCAATTTTTATTCATATATTATGATTCTCAGTTCTATAATTTGGCATTTGATAGATTTTTAATCTATGATTGAATAATACAATCAAGGTAATTCTATATTTCTACATTTAATTAAAAAATTTGAAATTACAATAAAAATACAAAGCGCTAAAATTGCAAATGAAATTGAATTGACGTAGTGTTGTTCAAGCCTCATGATACATAAAGATAGAGAACAACTGACTTATACGTTTTTACTCCTTATTCACAATTATGCGACATAAGTTACATGAATCGAACGTCACATTTAAAAGTCATTTATCGAAAATTCGAAACCTGGTGGCTTTACAAGATGTTTTCGATTCCTCGTATTTATATCTATGTCATCGAAGTCTCTCGTTACACTTAATAGCTGTACGTATCGTTTTTTTTCGCTTCCCAACACGATCGGCCTTTTTTGTGTTGATAATCACTGAAATGAAACCAAGTTCCGAAGAGAGGCCTGAGCGCTGTCTCTCGGACAACATTAACTTTCATCGTTCAATTTGAGTGTGACCATCGGTCGCATTTTGAGCCTCTCTATAACATCGCGTTCATTTCGATTTCAACTCTTGACGAACAAACATACACACTCGGCGGCCTGTCGTTCAAAAATTACGTGTACTGACTTTGATCGTATAATCGTTCTCTCAATGTACGAGTGTGACTATCTGCGATTCGAAATCTAAATATAGAATGGTGAGTTTGAAGTTTAAGTACTGCTGTACCCGCGAGAGCTGTCGTCCGCACGCCTCATAAATATTTAAGATCGATAAGAGGCTGCTGCGAAACTTTAAACGATCCGAATGAATTTCAATTTCTCTCTGACTGTATAATATAATAATGTGAAAAAAATCGAAAGATCTGTTCACTGTATTATGACGTTTTATTGTTTTTTTAGGATTCAAATTGTGGACTGTCAACGATAGCGGAATATTCCCACAATCAAAGAAACAATCGACAACAGCGACGCGATCATTTGCGCGATCAGATCGACGGCTTGAAGCGCAAAGTCGAACAGCTCGAGGTCACGTTGGAGCTTTTGCGGGAAAAAAATGATAACTGGAACAAAAGCGATTACCATAAGAGCAAAACCAGTAAACTCGTAATCGTTAGCCTGGATGCTGACGTGAAAAAGTGATATTGAAGAACGTGTGGTGTGAACAATAAATGTGATAAGAAATGAAACAGTTCCTCTCGCGTAAGTGTGCTCAAAGCACATGTGTGAATTGTGATAGTTCTACATGCAGTACACCTGCAATAGTGTGATTTAATTTTATCATCGTTTGTATTGTTCTAAAGAATAGCTTTCGTATTGTGATGATCGTACAGATATTATTGTAAGAAGATGCAGGGCAATTTTAGATTTCGAACGACGTATATGTTATTGAGTGCAACGACTGATTGTGTATTATAGTTTAGTAATTTTTTAAAATTAAATGCATGTAAAGTTCATCAAATGTATTCTTCACTGATCCGATATTATTTACCCATAAAGAATTATGAATTATTGAAAATTGACTTGAGAATTCTACTTCGCGAGTAACGGTGCACACGTACGTACATTTTCTGCGGAAAAAGTACCCTCTTATTATCGTTATCCATCGAAAAACATCAGGATACAAGCACGAGCTTTTAAGTATACGACAGAATCGTCTCGACGTCGTAGCACGCGGGCATATATTACGCGATTCGCGCGCGCATCGGTAAACGTTAATGGCCAAACATGCAGAGTCAGCAGCTACGCGACTCCGTGCGGGCGGACGCGCCAAAGATTTACTGCAGCTACTACTATAGCCTGTGCAATTAGCGCGTCACGTGCGTACATAGTACGTACATGTTGCCATGTTATAGGTGTGTCTCGGGGCTTCCTTGACTCGTACCGTCTGCCGCCTTATCTATTGTTTCGCGTGTTATACGCCAATACTACCGTATAATAACAGACCTACCGGAACGGAATATGCTCATTTGCGGACCGGTCGCCTGCTTGCAAAAAAAGAAGAGGAGGTTTTGTTTTCATCCCTCGCGTATAGAAGCGAGTGCAGAACTTGACAAAGAAGCAAGGCACCCGAAGCCCGAGGGTGCTAAGCGAGACAAGACCGAGAAAGATCAGAGAAAGAGACGAGGAAAAATAATAGCGGTACATGGTGTATCCGGCTTTCCTTGCGCGGCACTTTTTTGCCCGTTTGGATACTCGATTCGTATCTGAAAGTGTGTCTGTGTGTGTACGTATGTGCGTCCACGTTTATGCTCACGCGTGTGCGGCTAAATACGTCAATGCTGCACGTCTCGAGTAACTTTCTCTCTTTTCTATAAAACACATTATGTACGTGCTGCGTGTATGGATTCCGCGCGTGTGACATGTACTGCTGCTCTTCCACTGATTTCGATGGCCGAGCTGTTGAAAGTTTTATATAAAGAATAAATTCTGCCATTCTCGCTAGATCTAACGCACATATAGTATAGATGATTCATCCTGGTTTAACATTCTTCAAAATGGTCATTATAAATATATCTCCAAAATGTTTGATAAGTAAATCATGTTAAAGATTTGAAAAATGCTTGAAATTTTTTAAAAAATAAGACAATCGAAAAGCGCTGAACCGGGTGACGAGTTTTGGATGAGACATTATTATTTCGCTGATTCTGCGAGAAACGTTGTACTTTTTAATATCGTTGGGATTTACAGACGGCATACCGAAGCAAGAAATTTCAAATTCCATAATTTCAAGTGGCTAATTGAGGTAAATATGTTATCGAAATTTTCATGTCATACGTCTAATCGTAAAATCTCGTGAATAGAGAAATTTCGACACATGACTAATGCATGTAACTGTCCTTCATCAAGGTAATCTAATGGTTATCTAAGAGCACTTGAGCAGTGTATATTTTTGATCTGTCAACAATGTCGGATCTGATAATCTCACAGCTAAACAGTTATCTGAAATAATCAAAATAAAAAGCTCGTGTAATAGCTTTCATCAATGACGGAGCATCTCTTCAGACAAAAGCTCTTGGACGCGATACCTCTTCACAGAGAACGAGTCTTCATTATGTAGACTAAAATTAGCTCATCCAGTCACTTTTATCAATGAGCATGAATAGGATTTCATATAGCGGATTGGTTTCGATGATCATTTCTATCTCTCGTGCACCTCTAAGGCTAGCTTTCTCTCCCTCTCTCTCTATCTTGATTGTTTATATGTATTGTTTGTCCAATATCGCTATCGGTGTAACGTTAATTCCGCATTATCGCAGAGATAAAGCGCCGCTCTCGAGTAGCAAAACTAATGGCTACTTTAAGTCGCGCATATACGCGAGTGTAAACACAATATAACGCTGATCGCGTATAACGATCTCGCGTGCGCGCGCCTGGAATTGTAAACAGGATGTCGTAATTAACGCGCGCACGCATCGGAAGCATCGCGGACGCAATACGAGTCGAGCGAAGCCAGAAACGCAGTATCATTTGGATTTTCCATTGTGTCGGACGTTTTTCGATGTAGCGTCTATACGCGATAATACAGTCATTGTGTTATTCGTTTACTGTTATGCGTCGCGGTCATCGTGAGCACCGCAAAAAGCTCGCGTCCTCGCACCAAATCGAATCGAAAATTCGAGATGTAAAAAGTCCGCGCAGCTTCGCAGCTCTGAATCGCAGTCTGGAATGAAACTGCGGCATACACGCCGGGGGATCAACGAACTCGCGACGAGTGCGCCTACATTGAAAAAGTCCAAAGCCCACTTGACGGGTGTGTATTATGCAGAGGAATAATGCCTGCGGGCCAGATGTGAATCGATATATACCAACGACGAATCAATTCTCGGTACTGTACAAGATGCGGCTGTGAGTGCGGCAGCTTTTTGGTCTTGCAAGCCAAAGCAGTAGCGGTGCGCGTAAAGCTTTATTTTCTCACGATCTTGGCAATCAAGCGTGCTGCACACAAGTACGCCGCAATTTACTTTTACACATAAGACACGGGGGCCGCGTTGACACAAACGTGATAAATCTTATCTGGCGCGGAGAGCTTGCATAAACTCGATATTTTCCTTATCTCGGTCTCTTTCGTGGCATCGGTGTGCGCGTGTGGGAACTTATGCAAAGCACTCGCGCCGTGCACGTATAAGCTCGGTGGAAAAGCAGCATAACTCGAGGCATCTCTCTGTTGTCTGCTATATAGCTATATGTGTATATGAGCATAGAAGCTGAGAGTGTATGCGTATGTTTGTCCCACAACTCCGGCGGCACATATACAAGCTGAGAGACTCGGCCGTCACTGCCTGGGACTTGCGCGCGCATCTCAGTCGAGCACTGGCACTTCTTACATACTGTACAGTACACACCGCGAACGGCTTTATACACACATTACAGAGAGAAAGAGAGAGAGAGAGAGAGAGAGTCGGGCGCAGCGGCGCACAAAAGCCACGATATATATTGTATACAGAATCCGCAGTCGACGGTGTACGGCTCGATACGATATACCGCCACCGTATATTATAGGTACATATATACGTTTGCGTTTAGTGCCGAAAAGTATAAGGCCGTGAAAGGAATATCTATACAGATCCCGCATATTATACCTGTGCGTATTATTTACACACGTACTCCAGTTTTCTAAGCATCTCGTTTCTCGCTCCTGCATCAGTATATATTATAGAGGGAGGGAGACCGGTTTCTGCATAGGTATACAAATACAAGCCCGAACGACGTAAGAGAGAGAAAGAGTCGAAAGGAAAAGAAACGAATTTTTGTTTGTTGTGTCTATCGATAGCTGGCTGCAGCATAAAAAATCGAGCCAGTGAGTGAATAAGCGTGTCGTCTATGTGTTTGTTTGTGTAATCGTGTTGTATTACAGTGAAGCTGCAGACAGGCAGGCGAGGGCGTCGACGAGTTGGCAGGAGAAAAATGCCATCGTAATAATTCAGCGCGACACGGAGTGCAGAGAGCAGAAGCCATCGAGCATCTTTGTGCACCGTATATAATAAAAGCAGCAGCAGTGCGCTTGTGTTTTCAACGCATAGATGTGCGTGCACGTAAAGCGCAGTAGCGCACGCTGATTGCTCTTTGCTGCATACGAAAACTGCACGTACGCGAGCGACCACTGGCTCATCTTACTCTCCTCCATACGTGATATATTCCCACGTAGGTACCCCGTATGCACTTACTTTTCTCGTGCGCGTTTCGTCTGCCTATGCAGTACGTGGGTGTGTGCGTGCGTGCGAGCGACCGCGACAGCCAACGTATTTATACCGATACGCATAGATGCACGAGCGACATCGCCAACGACTCGCGATATCTATATGTGAATGTGTGTATGTGTGTATGTGCTGCTTGTGTTGGGCCAAACGGAGTTTATTAATAGACGTCTAATTTCACGAGTGCGCGATGATCTCGGCCAAAGTCATTGCTGACAGCCCGAGTCTCTCGGCGCAATTCAACAAGCAGCGATGCATACGAGAACTTGTGACTCGATTTTATTGGGCAACTCGTATTTATTAACGATTCGTCTTTTTAATAACAACGAGATACTGCCTCGCCTCTCTGTATATTATCTGCGCGACTACGGCTACAGCAAGAGAAGACAGTTCAAAGGTCGTCGACGTCTCACTAACACTACTTCTTCGCGCATCTCATAAAGTACTCATTTGTACGCTACGAAGGATTTCTTTACTTACGTCCAACTTCGCGTGTTCTTTATATTAATTTCGACGATCATGACTCGAACTTCGCCGCAACAATTCTGAGAATATCTGTCTTCTCTTGGCTTGGCTTGACTTCAACGTCAGATGGTACTCCCTAGTGCATTTATTTATTATGTACGCCTTTATAAATCTCAACGCGTGTACGTGAACGAGCTAGTCGTGTGCGTGTCTGCTTGCATGTGTCTGTGAAAGAGAAGGGAATTTGTGTCGCGTATCGTTAAAGTAACTAACAAAGACCAAGTTGTGATATTACAGTGTGTACGATCACCTGGCTTCAGATCATGACATTTGTGTTGCGCGGAAAACTCACCTGCGATGTTTTCAAACACTTCAGTCATCGATTAGTCGAAAATTCGTATTTTTAGCCTCTTTTTTCACGAAACTATACAGGGTATTGTTTCTACATAATCCGGACTGTGTTTTGTTTATATTTAACGACATTCAAGCGTAACTTCCAGCTCGAATAGATGTATGCTGACAGTACGTTCATTTAACCCTGAGAGTACTGATTGAAATGTCTGCTATTGCTCTATATTCACCATCAGTACGTCTGCCGTCTCTTTCGTACGGCTATATTATACCTACTGTATATTTTGTCTCGACGTTCTGCTCAAGTTTGTTGTTTCTTATTTTATTTCGCGATCTCTGTATGCGAAAACGACTTTAAAAATAAGTTTCAGTTTTTCGGAGAAAGCTCATAATGTTTTGAAATCTCGAATGTAACGCACGTAGACAGCTAAGTTTGAAAGTTGTCAATGACATATTTACGTGGCGTTATTCCGATTGATTGAAGCTGATCGTCGATCGCGCATTATATGCTCTATATATGGGAGCCGGTTCCGCATACTTGACGTTGCGTCATTTCCACTGCGGTTCGCTGTCAATTGTATTATGACAATTTTTTGTTGCAATGTACCAATGTTTATACTTGGCAATTTTTATTTTAAAAATTTTTTCGAAGCGCTTGTTAGTATTCATAATTCAATATAAAACTCTCATCAAAAAATTTACCAAAATAAAATGGAAATCCAATCTCGTTCTCAAAAGGATTTTACATAAAAAAATTTTACCATTTATAATTGAGTGTTACTGGAAATTTTATGTATCTCACAAGGATGCTCAATATGTCTCTTTTTTATTTTTCAGGGAAATACAATGTCAAGAAAAGACAATAAAGGACTGGTGCACCACCAATTATCCTCTGTTTTGCCAGATGATAGACCTATTACAGCAATAAATATTATTGAAGATATAGACAAATGTCCAAAAAATTTTACTGTCGTAAGTATTGCCTCAATTTTTTACTTTCTTTGTAATAATAGTTCATTCTTGGCAAGCATACTCAGATCTTCTGACTTCTTCTGATACTCTGAACATGCATGACTCATGTATTACTCACAAAATTATCATTTGTAGTGTGCTTGAGAGATAAATCATGAGGGATGCATATAATTTTTTAAATTAATTAATTATGAATCAATAGTAATATTCTCATAAAAATGACCTTCTTTTAGGTGACAAAAACATATGATTTGGATGCAGATGCTGATTTATGGCGTGAAAGTGGTTTATTTATTAAAAAAAAATCAAGATATATCTGTTTTTCTAAGACTGAAGGACTGCCACATTCTATTGTAGAAAGAATATCTATAGTAGATGAGAGAGAACCACCTCCTGATGGATTTAGTATGATTTCTCATACTGTAGACTCTAGTAAGTCAGATTTCTTCTTTGCCTTGGGAAAAATGTTATCTTGTAATGTAACTTTTGTATTGTTTCAACATCTTTGTAATTCGTTTCTCATTCAACTTTTCAGTGCAAAAAGCATGGCGCAAGAGGCAGCTATGTTACAAAATTAGAAATAAAGACTTATGTGCAAGCGCTGTTTCTGATATAATTCTTTGCAGTAAACTTGGAAAAGGAACAAAAATGGCTCCTGATGAATTTACATTTGCAGGGTGAGTTAAAAATATAAATTCAAAATGTATAAACTGTTGATCAAATAAACTAATTCATTTTTTTGATCAGGATTATCAATGGTCTTTATGTGTGTTATAAAACAGTGCCCGTAGTAAATAGTGCTTTATCGGCGCAGCCATATGCTAATATAGAGTGAGTATAAAATTATCTTTAGGTTTATATTTTGTACTATCCGATTATAATTGTTATTATTCAATAGATTATTTCAAGCTAAGTCTCCTACGTTATCAAATGGAACTCCACATAGAGTGGCACCAGAAAGGCCACCAAAACCAAAGTATACGCCAAAATCATCAAATGGACAAAAATCGACTAGTCCTATCAGGCCTGGTAAACAAGTGAGTGAAGAAAATGAACAAGACTATGAAATTTTAAGTCCCATCTCAAGTCCAAACTTGAGGCCAACAAGACCAGCACCAAGACCTCCACCTTTGAAGGCAGCCCCAGTCCATTATGTTCCCACAATATATGGAACTTTATCAGGATCTTCAGAACTCGATGGAGTACCTTTTATTCTTAATCCTCTTCTAAGCACAAATTCGAATTCTGTACTACATGTGAGTTAATGAAATTAATTTTTTAAATAAGCTATTCCAAAGTTAATCCTGAACTAAATTTTTTCGTTTGTACAGAGCCAGCTTCCTGTGATTAGAGTTCGAACTTTGCAGGAGTTAGAAAAAGAAGTAAGTTTTTTAAAATTATGAAGTAAACTCACTGGTATACTAATTTTGCAAATTTAACACGTTATTTTTTTCAGTATTCCTACGACTTTCGAACTGAGAGAGCTACATGATTAGAGTTTTATTGTGCCAAACGATTTTCTTGACTATAAAGTATTTGGCTACAATTCGTAAAAGCGCTTCAATTAACGTAACTGTGGCCATGAGTAAAAGAGTGCCTGAATGAGTGTATTAAGATATGATTATTCAATCAAAAAATGATGAATCAAAGTCTGTTGTTAATATGAAAAAGAGTATAGATGAACTTTTATACTCACAAGTGATACGCGAAGTGTGTTAAATTTAAAAATTTTGGTACCCATACTTGTATTTTTATAGACTTGTGTTATCACTTTATTGTTTGTAGAAATTTATAAAACGTATCAACCTGTATATTATATTCTAGTTTGTCATGTTGGTATTAAAATATTTAATACCTTTCATATAATGCATTACGACAAGAGCTTAAAAGTAATAAAGAGAACTTTTTGATACAATTTAATGATAATATTTCTTGGGGGGAAATTGATTTTGAAAGGTTTGTCGTGACTCAAAACACGTAACATTTTTCATGGTAATACATTTTTTTAATTAATATAAACTGATGACTTGGTTTTACAGAAATTCAATCGTGAATATGCCATAAAAATACATTTCGTTATATTTTTGTGCTCAATTTTTTTTCTCTTCATTTATATGTACATGCGTAAATATGTTTTATATTTATCAGTGCAATTAACGTTACGATTCTTCTAATGCATATGAAACTGCACTATGTAAACACAGTTTTACTGACTAATTTTTTTTCATTACATGAATATATATATATCGATACATCAGAAGAACATTTTTCAAAAATAACAATAATTAAATCTACACGAAATTGTCAAATATGCTATTAATATCAAAAGCGAACATTCGAGTTTTAAAATATACATTTGAGAAACAATGACATTAGAATTGTTAAAGAATTGCACGGTACTATTAAAACGCTTAGTAAACGTGTAAGGCTGCTGGACTGTATAACAGCGAGTTTTGAAACTAACACGATTAAATAATAAGTATTCTATTAGTGCGAGATATACACATTACACACACACACCTAGTAAGAAGTAATAAACGCGCGATTCGTAAAACAATTTGCTAAGTACTTGCATCACAACGACTGGAATAATTAAAATAAGAAAATGACGATTCTTATTACACAATTGGAAACTTATTAAAATACAATCACGCTCATTGGAAGGAACTGCTGCAACTCGCCAGTCTTTAATTTTCCATACGTTCTTTCGTGAAGCCAACGCAGCCGAGCATGGCCTTGAGCTTTGACGCGGCTCATCCAGGCCTGCTGCTTGTCAAGCTGCATCAGCTGCTGCTGTTGTCGGCGTCGCTATCACCGCGGCGAGCCGTCTCTCTATGAACCGGTGTAGTTGGGGCGCTGAGCGAGTTGCCTTGATGCCTGCTGCAGACGCTTTGGGCCAGTCGTCAGACGAATGGCCCGGTCCAGTGTCGCGTCAGGGTTGCGGGTGCGTGCCGTTCCATCACCGCCGTCGCTTTGATCTTGCTCTTGTATTTGACATCTTTGGGCTTGAGCATGCTCTTGTGATTGCTCAGCATGCGGGAAGGCGTGAGAATGGACTTGTTGCTTAGGCCCGTGGCCTCGAGGAAGCTGTCATAATTACCGTTCGAGCTCGCCAACGGAGCATTGTTGTTCTCATGTGAATCGGATGAGAGGCTCGAGACTAGATTGTTCGTCGGAGACAAAGTCGTGTAGGTATCTGAACTGCTGCTGTCGTCGCGTAGTTCGGGTTCTTCCGACAGGTCGCAATCGTCCAGCTTGAACTCCTCGAAATTCTGCTGTATGTCGTAGTTGTCCAGAACGATTTGCGACGTCACTGGCTTTTTGCAGTCATCGTTGTTGTCGATTTTGAACTCTTCGAAGTGTTTGACAATGCTCGTGACTTTTGCGGGTATTTGTTCGATTGATTTGGGTCGGTTCAATCGCTGCTGTTGCGTCGGCGGTTTCGCGCTCTCGCTGGACTCTGCCAATTTTTTACTCGTACTCGTCAACAGACTGTCGTTATCGAATTTGAGACTGCGAACCGGATGCAGCACGACGGAATTGAGACGTTCGCTCGCCTGCTGCTTCTTGGCCGACGTCTCATCGATGAGAAACGACGGGCTGGGAATTTTTTTCAATATCAGCGTGTTACTGTGAAATTGCGGCTTCGGTGGTAAGCTCGGCGCTTTGGCCGATTTCACGCTGATCTGCATCGGTGCGATTATATCCGGTAGTGATTCGATTTCCTCGTAGTCGTGATTACTCGACAGCGCCAGACTTTTTATCGATAAGTTGTCGTCCGCGACAGTCACCGGAACACTGTTGTTTTTGCTTGATCTAGATTATCAGAAAATAAATTCAGTATTACGATTGCGTTGGAGCGGAAGAAGTTAAATTCGTTGGAGCAAAAGTAAAATTCGACGTACCTCGAAATAATGGACTTTTTGTCGGAAACTGGTTCGATTATGACGATTGGTCTTGCCTTGGTGTCATCCACGTCCTCCTCGATTCCCGATTCAGGATTGAGCGCGTGCATGGGTATTATCCTCATGCCGTACTCGTCTTCCGAATTAGTCGCTTCAAAACTACCATTCGACGGATCTGTCTCGTTATCGTTATCCTCGTCTTTCTGTTGTAGCAATAAAATATTACAAGATCGGATCGAAATAAAATAAAACAAAGGGCTAGCTCTCTTACGATATTTTTGTCGCTGCTGACGTCTTGGGTCGTCGTCGTAATGGTCATCGGAGGGGGCGGCGGCGGAGCCGTGGGCAAACTCGACGGCGTGTCCTCGGAATTCCGTCGTTCCATTTCCGAACCGACAGACTCGATGTCGGACAATCGGGCCGGCTGGAATCTGACGATTTTACCGCGATGCTTGAAGCGCCTCGGCACCGACAGGACGTTCTCGTCATCCTCCATGTCGCGCAGCAGGATCTGATTGACGCACTCGAGGACCGAGTTGTGTTTGCTATTGGGCCGATAGACGCTGTGACGTATCAGCTCGTCGTTGATTTTGTCCTCGTCGGGATCGCTGTACCAGTTGCCCGACGATTCACAGTCGTTGCTGTGCGGACTCGACGCTTCGATCCGCGTCGGTTGCCTATGAAAGACACGGAAAAAGAGGATGAGTAAACACAACAGGAGACAAGCAATAAACGAAAAAATACGACGAAATAATCACTCACAATTGTACGTTATTATTGCTAGAATCGTCTGTGTTGACGCGGTGCTGAGTCCTCGTAACGACGACGCTCTTGGCCTTGTCGCAGTTCTCGTAAAGAGGCTCGTCCTCGTCGTCGCCCTCGTCCTCGTCGGACGCGTAATTGCAGTCCATGCCGTCGTCCTTGCTCTCCGACCTGACGATGCACTTTGGCTTGTCGCTACTACTACTACTACTACCGTTACTACCTAGGATGACCATGGTGACCTCGTTGTCGCTGTCGGTCGTCACGATGGTCGGGGTGCAGCGGCTGCTGACGCTGCTACTGCTGCTGGACTTGTTGAGGGTCGAGTGGGGCGAGACGTCGTCGGTCGACTCGCCCTCGCAGAAGCCCTCGGTGCTGAGCAGCGACGGGCTGCCGTCCGTCGTCGTCGTGATAATGGACGTGTCCGTGTTCTCGCTGGAAGTCAGCGACGAGGCTTTGGATATGTCGCTGCCGGCGAAGCTGTGGGTTTTGCGAATGTTCGCCGACGACGACTGCTGCTGTTGTTCCTGCTGCTGTTGCTGCTGCTCGTCGAGGCTCTCCGAGAGTTGGGTAATTATTTCGCACTTCAGATGATTGATGTCCTTGCTTAGGCTGCTTGAGCTGAGTTCGTGCAGCTGTTAAGAAAAGAAATCGTTTTATCGTATCAAGATGATCTACATAAGGATTGTAATTAATTTTCTTAGGCACGCGCGATCGGACACGAACCTGGAAATCGGACGAATCGATGTCCATATCCTTGATCTCGTCGATGTTCACGCAGCCGCAGGTCTGATCTCTGGCTTCCTTGATGTAGCACTTGGTGAGCCGCCTCAACCTGGCGATCTCCAGCTGCTGAGTCCTGATGAGGCCATCCTTCTCGCAGAGCAGCTGCCTGATGGACTTTTGCTCCTGCTTGAGCCGCGACTCGAGCACCAGCAAGGCGCGCAGTATCCTCGACAGCTGATCGTCGCGCAGTACTCGCTCCTTTTCGTGCTGGCTGATCCGCGAGTTCAGCTCCTTGGCGAGATCGTGACAGCGACGAGTGGCCGCGCGCAGCGACTCCTGCGATCGATTGTAATCCTGACGCAGCGAGCGCACCTCCGACTCCATCTGTACGAGGACAGAAGAAAAAATCACGTTTAATCCTTGCTCGTTCCTTTTTTTCTTCATCTTCTTCTTAGCTCTATTATGTTTTATGTATGAATATAGGACTTTTTTTTAATTTCGTTTCTCGGATGTGCACTCATCGCTCAAGAATTTCCAACCCTATATATATTATATAGAAACGCAAGAGACCGTCTGTGGAATGCAGTCGCGAAAAAGCGCCGTGTCATCCATACAATGTATACGTCTCGTGTATACAGCTTGTCGAAGCCAACTAAAGCGTTCAACTGCACCGAGCTGCAATCGCGAGAGCTACGTCAGCGTTCTACACAGCCTGTATTGGCCTCACATAGGCAGGCAGGCAGGTACCGCACGCAGCAGCAGCAGCACATAATGCACATAGCAAACACGAATATTATTTCGCGAGCCGCGATTTATATTATACGGCACTCGAGGTTGACCTCCTATCGATGACGACGGACACACATTGGCCGCGCGACCGAGCGTCGAGCGAGTGTAAGAAAGAGAGAGAGAGAGAGAAAAAAACCGTTGGTCAAAGGAATGGGAGAAAGCCGTTTCGCACGCGCGCATACTATGTGCTGCTTATAGCGCTGCACGATGCTAAAATGTGGGTGTGTTGTATCACCTCTGTTTGTCGATCTCCGAGACCGCGGCATATATAGTCTATAAATAAAGCTACCGTGAAGAATTTCTTGGAGAATTAACTTGCAGCTATTGCAGTGTGCCAGTGAATCATTTAATGCATTTTTGACACATCGAAACGAGTGCATTTGCGTTTTGGAATATTCTCGGCCAAGAGCACCTATACAATTTAACAGCGACCAACGAGTGACCTTGTCTCTTCCCTCGTTCACGCATTCTTCTACCGCGCTCCGGATCAAAATAGTACTGCGTCGTGGAGAAAAAAATTCCAGCATTCGACCAAGTTGCTGTAGCCGCTGCTTCACGCATCAACATCAAATGCCGATATAAAGACTGCCAATGTTTTAAAAAAAATTCTTTTATACCGTCGCTCGCGCGTGTTATATACATAATATATAATCGGCTTTTGAAAGTCTTTGGCGCACAAGCGCGGCGATGATCGCGCGGCGTCAGCAACAACACACACAGCATCCTCTCGAAATAATTTGCTTTTCCGAACTAATGAAGCGTGCGAACGACCTTGAGGCAGATCCCGCACGTGCAGCGTAGCGAGAAGCGGTGAAAAAAAAAAAATAATAAAGAGGCAGCGAAAAGTCGCTCAAGCGTGCAAGGCTTACGATTAGCCACAAAGATTTCACGCTCCGAAGCCTTTTTTCGTTGTTGAATGGGTGAACGAAAAAGGGCGCACACGAGCACGCACGTTTTTACCCCAAAAATATAATGTGTTATTCGATAATTGAGTTTCGCGCAAAGTCATACATGTTGCGCAAGCACTACTGGTGCAAACCGCACGAAGACAGAGGAATTTTCAGAAAAAAATTCGAGCCTCTGCTCTAGTACACTTTTATAACACGCTCGGCAGGTTGATTATATTGACGCGCAGATTGCACTTCATGTACATATAACGTCGCGATCGCGCGCGGCACGATTTTGCAATTAAACAAAAAATTCCGGCCAGGTTTGTAACTGTACACTCGTCGGCTGACGAGTCAGAAAATAAGAACTAATAAAAAATTGCCCGTGTCGCCAAAAACTATTGGATAAATATTCCACACAGAAATCGTATGATAATTATCGTCACCTGTCCAAGTCTACTCGCTAGCCGCTGCAACAGTTCGAGAACGACACCGACGATCCACCTGATCATTCCAGCTCTGCTCGTCAATCGTCTACCAGCCGTACCGAAACAATAACGATTCCTAGCATTCTTCGATCTCGCGCCACTTCTCTCCATTTCGCGTCCCTCGCGCGCCAATGCGCAACAACAATGACCACGACCGTCTTCGATGAAGACGATTTCTTTTTTCAACACCTCGGCGATCGGCGATGGCACTACACGTGTGTACACCGATGAATCGTACCTTAAACTGCGGTGCGCGCGAGTGCATCCAGCCGTGTTGCCCGCGGCATGCAGCGCGTCTCGACTGACCTTGAACTTGCGTATTGTAAAAAGAAAAAAAAATCGTGACAATCGAGCGTGAGCTATAAAACGCGCTTCATTAAGCTCGCGGCTCTCGATAATTATTGCGCCAGTTTATGTGTTATTGTGTGTGTTAAACGTACTGGAGATGCCGAACTTTTTTTTTTCCTTTTTTTGATTCCTTGACTCGCTAAAAAATTAATCTCCGTTTTATCAGCTGTGATGCAATTTATTAGATATGCAAAAAACTCTCGAACGAGATCTTGCATATAGTGACTAAGAGAGTTACACGCGAGCTCCTTTTTTATCGAGAAGATAAGTTTTTTAATCAGCTAGAATAACGAGTCATCGTCAGCATCATCGACAGCATTAGCCGAGTTCATTGCACTTGACTTTTTTTCATCTCTGAATTCATTATATGCGTTTTTATAAACATTTACATGTGTATTAATAATCAAATTGACTAGGAGCATCGATTAAAAAAATCGAGTTCTTCTTCGAACTAGCTCAGAGCGTGTAATGTATTTATTCATCGTTGGCAATGCTCTGATTCCTCCCATTGCAGAAAGAGATATACAATTATGTAATATTAAACATTTTCTCGGGTAATGAACAATGCCAGGAGAGTAAACAACCTACAGGTATGCGCATCTTGCATTCGCGTGTAGACACGTGTTTGTATATAATAATTGCGTACCAAGTATTTTAACGGGCAATCACGCAGCAAATTACCGACGATGTGTGTATCGCAATAATAAAATGTACGTCTTTCAAAAACTATTCGACGCTATTGATGAATTCGCGATGTGTTCGAGGCGTTGTAAATGTAACCTAACAGGTGAGATTTAATTGTATTTTCTATATACGATGAAAGTGAGATGAAAATCGTTGTAAACACGCCATAAGCTCACTTATAAGCATGAGAGAGAAAAGAAAAACTATTTGAGATAATCTAGACTGTTCACCATGACAATCATGTGAAGTATAAACCGCGAATGGTGTGAAAAAATTCCAAGTTCGCTGTCTATTAATTACTGAAACATCGTGTTTTAGTAACATAACGATTGTTGCAATTTAGCTTCACCCTATGTACCCACACGTATCGCTAAAGTTTGTAACGATTATTACATAATTCATTTGACGGCGTATCAGCTGCCTACAAAGGAAAGCCTCTCCTATCGAAACGTCGATCTCAGTCACTGAGTCAGCTGTTTTTGCCTTCCTTTCTTCAAATCTTCGTATTTTTCTTGACCCTCGAGAAAAATACGACTCCAGCCCTCCTAGTATACACAAAAGTGTATTCTATCATTTAAATACTAGGAACCAAAAATGCTGACCGAATAAAAGAGCAAAGGGATGTACGCTTGGTGATTCGGGCTGAATTCAGTACGACACGTGCCGGGCTTGACCATTTGTTTCGTCAAAACGAAAGTTTATGTATATACAAGCAAACGCTTCCCCGATACCGAATAATAGGGAGGGCAAAAAAAGCTTATATGGAGAAAAATGAAATTCATGTATTTATTCTTGGACGCGTGCGGCTTGTCTTTCGAATGGTAAATAGTCGAGCGTTTATAGAGAAATATTATTATGCGTGTTTTCGCGAGAGAGCATGTATATATACAAGCACAATCTGAAAAAAGAGAAGCAGTTACATTATGAATTCAGCCTAGTTTGAAAGTGCCAAAAAAAAAGTTAATAGCGCGATGCCCGACACGTACACACGCATAATAATGTAGTACGTGAAATCATGGATACGATCGGCTTAGTGACAGCGGTGCCATATATGTTTTAGTGACTTTTGCGTGCGCAATGTGGCATTTAATATTTCAGCTTTTATCGATTGTGTGTATGTGTGTGTTTGCCAATACACATATCGATGTGTGGGCTCTTCGTTCTCTCTATGCGACCATAAATCTAAAGGCAATATTTCATCAAACGATAATATTTTAAAATCCCCAAGTGTAAACAAACAAAAATTGGCTTCAGCGCGTAAGGAGTATGTTATTTTAATGAAATCAAATAATACATCGATGAACGGTGTGGTTTTCTAAGGATACCGAATATTATTGGCGATCAAGCCTTATTGTTTAAAAAGTTACCAGTATGGTACATATCATACGTGTCACGGAGGTGTCATACAAAAATGACCAAAAATTCCTGCGATATTTGATAACTCGAGCCTCCGACAGATCGCATAATTCTCATTTTCATTTGGGGTCGCGATCAGCTGTTCATACAGTAAGCAAAAGGTTATGCATACTGGCGGCACGCTTCAATGACGTCCGGCGCGCAATCGATCGTATCATCGGCTGCTCTCCCCTCGGTTTCGTCACACTATTAATTTCTGATCAATTACCGGTATGAGCATAAAGTCGGCGTATCGCGGCTGCCAATGCCAATGACGACGGCGACGCCGCGCGAAGTCACTGCGAAAATATTCGAATAATTTGGCCAAAATCTTACCTAATTCCGAGCGCGAGCGATCGTTAGCGTACAAATAACGGCTCTCTGCAAATGGTTTCTCGAATTGATTAAAAAGTCATTTGACGCGTGGGAAGCTAGGGTATGTACGGGTCTTGTGTACGTTAGGGTACAAAGATCGCGAACGTTCGTCATTATAAGCAGACGTGTGTATTACGACGAAGGTCAGAATCTTGAGACAGTATAATACGTACGTATAATGCGAAGGGATTAAAAAGCGACGGCTTCGTTGCGGCCTGTCGACGCGTGTGTGCATATAAGTACGATATGTATACGTGCACCAATGGCACGCGGCTATTACGACACTCGCTGCAACGCGTTAAATACATACAATTTCGCAGTTCTACTTGCATCAGCTGCTCGTGAGCCGCAGCCTCGGGATACGTATCATCTACGGCGGCGGCGGCGTCGTCGATGCGCACCGATCAAAGAGACACGC